GGAATAGGACTATGTATCGGTCCTCTACCAGTTTACTTTTGCGGCCACTACAGCTTCGGCCCCTGCGTGAATTAATTAATTAATCTCATATGCAACACGCTTGGAAACATGTTGAACGACCTGGCGGAAGCCATACGGCGTTGGACGGAAAAAAAAGGTGAGGAGATTGCGAGATATGTGTGGGAACAAACACTGGATGAGGTGGCGAAGGGCGAGCTGGAAGGACCACTGGCACTGGATGACATCCCGCTGAACGTGCCGCTTAGCAAGCGTTTTGGTGTGGAGCAAGGTGGGAAAGTCCGCTGTGTGGACGATTTTTCAGCTTCTGGAGTGAATGCGGCGGCCCAGCCCCTGGAAAGCCCGAAGCCACACACTTTGGACGTGGTTGCGGGAATGATCTCCACCGTTATGAAATTTGATGGGTCAGGAGAGAAGTGGAACATCCGAAGCTTCGATTTGAAGAGCGCATACTGACAGTGTGCTGTGCACCCCCAGTCACGGAAGTTTGCCGTGATCGTAGTGGGAGACCCCACAACAAAGACCTTGAAGGCATTCCGCCTTAAAGCCCTCCCATTTGGCAGCGTGAAGTCGGTGCACTCCTTTTTGAGAGTGGCACACAACATTTGGACAATCCTGACCACCATCTTTCTGACAATAAAAACAAATTATTTTGATGACTTCATATCTCTTGCAACGGAAGTAGAATCACAATCAGTTGACTTCACGGTGAAAGCTGTGCTACGGATGTTGGGCTGGAAATTCGCTGAGGATGGCCCAAAGGCACCGCCGTTCTCCCCCAAGGTTACTGCATTGGGTGTCGAGGTCAATGTCAGCAGACTGCATCAGGGCTTTACTCTGATCGACAACACTGAAAAACGGACGACTGAGTTGTCAGAAACAATCGCTGGATTTATCAACTCAGGTCGTATGTCCAGGAAGGAAGCTTTGAGATTTAAGAGGCCGGATCCAATTTGCTGCAGGACAATTTCTTGGTAGGGTCGCCAAGCGATGCCTGTCCGCAGTCACGCAGCATGCATACGAAGCTGGAGATGGACGATTGTCCGAGCCTCTTTTATCGGCGCTCACCAGATTCCTTGAACTGCTCCGGCTCAAGATTCCCAGAAGCCTGAGAGCCAAGAGTACATCAACATGGTTCATTTTTACAGATGCATAACACGAACCCAGTGCTGAAAAGGATACAGCTGGGATTGGCGCGGTTCTTGTCAACAGCTTGGGAGAAAAGGGCAGCTTCTTTTCGGAGGAAGTTACAGAAGAAACTTTGACGATGATTAATGTGCCAAAAAGAAAAACATCATTTTTGAATGTGTTTTTTTTCGCAGTTTTCTGCGCAATGTGGTCGTGGAGAGAAAAACTGACTGGGTGTAACATCGTGATCCATATTGACAACGATGGTGTGAGGGACTCCTTCATTTCCTGTCACACCACAAATGACAATGCAGTGCCCATTCTCAACGCATTTCTCCAGTTGGAATTTGAAGCAGCTATGAATACGTGGATAACAAGAGTTCCGACAGAGTCGAATGTAGCCGGCAATCCATCTCGATTTGATGTGACTTCACTAATCCAATGTGGTTGTACAAAAATGTCCTTTAATTCCTGTTCGATGTGGCGAAATAGAAATTGGGGAGGCACCGCGACCTGATTCGCCAGCCCCATGTTGTCAAAAGTGCGCATTTGCTTTTGCTGCTTCTTTAGTGAGGGTCATTTGACACAAGATTAATCAAGCAAACCGCCGGCAAACGATTTAAGTTTGTGGCCAATGTGGCGAGTTTTCATGAGCCAACCGAACGCATCTTTCATCTCAAGTTCACTGTGAACGTCATTTTTCATTGTGACACATGTACATGTTTACCGTCTCATGTTGTCATGTTCAACATGCTTTTGTTGCTGTTGAAAATTTTCACGTCCCACCCTCAGCCACCCAATGAGGGGTTGGGGGTGCCATGCCCAAAGCCAGGCACCGCGACCTGCTTCGCCAACCCCATGTTGTCAAAAGTGTGCATTTGCTTTTGCTGCTTCTTTAGTGAGGGTCATTTGACACAAAATTAAAATGTCATCATTTTTGGCATGATGCGTGGATGAACAATTCAAACTCCAAAATGCCGCAGATACTGTTCAACATGTTGCAAATGGCGTGCGAGTGCGAACTAGAAATTTGGCCTCGAAAACGTCGTAAATAAACTGCAGTTGACATATCTTGGTTTTATATGGTTTTATTGGTTTCGAACATGCTGCCCATCCTGTGCGTGCAAAAAAACATCGAAAAACAAATCCCTAGTTGAAAATGATTACATGCGCACAAAATGCAATGCAAATGAAACAAGGGTTCCCAGATACGGCAAAGTGAGGCGCACGTGAAGGAACTGAATCTAACATGTTGCAAATGCATGGGGAGTGAAAAACGTAGATCCCAAATCCCAAATGTTGCAAACAATTAGCAACAAAAAAATCAAATTCCAAAATGTCCTGAGTAACAGAAACAACACAAAACTGAAATGTTTTAAATTCAATAACGAATCAAACATTCCCCTGGTCCATGTTCCCTTCTCTGTGCTTTTACAACATGTTCCTTGTTTGCTGTTTCCATCAAAAACAGGTGATCAATCGCAACCTAAATCAACTCTCAACGTCAGAAATTATATAGTGCTATTGAAGTGATCAGTTGCTGTGATTTGCAGCTGCGCGCATGACAAAGAATCAACCCGAATAGCGATTTTCAATGATTTTCATGTTGTGGTTTTGCACCGCGACTTTCAGTCAGCCATTTGGTTCAACAGTTGGCATCAAACTATGCTGTGGCATTGGTTTGGGACTCAGATTCCGGCGGAACGGCTTGCCTGTGTTGATCAATTTTTGGACAAAAGATAGAACCAAAAAAACAATTAGTAAAAAAAAAGTGGGGGAGTCTTTGAAGAGTCACTACCGGTCACTATGTATTATGAATGTAGCATTGCAGACATGCATAAACAACCATCCGTGCCGAAAGGTCTCTTGAACCAGAATGTTTTGTCTCAGAGAGAGAGAGAGAGAGACAAATGTTCATGCGTGATTGCTTGGAGCAAATGACAATGTTTGTCCATACGACCTGAACCCCTTTTCCTGATTTGTGGCCATCCGGGTGCGCCGCCTGTTGTGCCACTAAGTTCTACGCTGCAGTGATGGCTGAATCTGATACCCTGAGCGAGGAACGGGGTTTGATGTGGCCGGGCCCTTCCAAAGGTTCGTTAATAACGTTTCTTTGCATTTTTCGAAGGTAAATCACAAAAGGAACGACCTTGGGAGAACGGACAAACAAACAAATACACTTTGAATTTCAGCGTTTTTGTCAAATTGAATGATTCAACCTCCAGACACTTCACTTTGCCGAGTTGGTTGTGTAGAAAGTAACAAATGAATACGATGGGTTAATTTGGCCTCCACAACGTCAAATCAGTTTTGCTGAACATTGTCTTGAGAATACCCCGAAGCCGAACAGCGGTCGCACGACTTTGTTGTGGCATCTTCCAGGCTTCCTGGTTTCCTGTACCCGCAGTCTATCGCTTCACGTTCCAGGTGTGACATGCGAGAGCCGGTTGTGTGTGTATAATAGTCACAGGACCATTTGGTCATTTAGGTGGTGAGTTCACTTGCAAACCCGTTTCGTTCTTCACACAGGTCGTGCTTCAGGTGGAATGCTAAATCCAGTTCAACAATTCCCAGTGTCTGTGGCACTGGATGTGCTCAAATCCAAGTGCAATAGCTAAAGCTTGTCTGTGCTTTCCTTCAACCAGTACTGATGGGGCATCCTCCTTGCACTTTTGAAGTGCAGGTACCATCTTAACCCTCGGCCAAGCAGGCTTCATGCCACGATGTACGGTATGACCTTTCAGCGTAGAACGTTTGAAATGTGCCTGTCCACACTGGGATGAAGTATATAGGTGGAATCGAGTGAGAGTCGGCCCTGTCCACATCAGGCCGAATACATACATCCATCCATCCATCCATCCATCCATCCATACATACATACATACATACATTAATTACACTACACTACACTACACTGCACTGCACTGCACTGCACTGCACTGCACTGCACTGCATTGCATTGCATTGCATTGCATTGCATTGCATATCATTGCATTGCATTGCATTGCATTGCATTACATTACATTACATTACATACATACATACATACATTAATTACATTACATTGCACTACACTACACTACACTACTTTACATTACACTACACTACACTACAGTACAGTACATTACATTACATTACATTACACTACACTACACTACACTACACTACATACATACATACATTCATTAATTACATTACATTGCACTACACTACACTACACTACTTTACATTACATTACATTACACTACACTACTTTACATTACATTACATTACATCACGTCACGTCACGTCATGTCAAGTCACGTCACCACGTCACCACGTCACCACGTCACCACGTCACCACGTCACCACGTCACCACGTCACCACGTCACCACGTCACCACGTCACCACGTCACCACGTCACATGACATGACATGACGTTACGTTACGTTACGTTACGTTACATTACGTTACATACATACATACATACATGCATGCATGCATGCATGCATGCATACATACATACATACATTATCCATCCATCCATCCATCCACCCATCCATCCATCCATCCATACATACATACATACATACATACATACATTATCCATCCATCCATCCACCCATCCATCCATCCATCCATCCATCCATACATACATACATACATACATACATACATACATAGATGTAAATACATAATACACGCACAGAGTCAGTGCATTGCCATTTTATACTTGAGGAAACCTGCTGAACTGACGTGTTTCGAAGTTCTAGACACTCATACTTCTGATCCTTGGCAAGGGGTGCTGGGTGACCAGGAATTGCTTTGGGAAGCATCATAAGCAAGGTATCAATCATGGATGATTTGACGGTGCATGTTTTCACCAACCACTGGTAAGCTTGTTGATGCACAGGAATCGATCTCCAAAGAGGATCTCGAAGATGAGTTGGAACTTCATCATGTCGAAGCGAGTGTGGAACAGATCTCTCCCACCGTTTTCGTGCCTCAGCTGGAACTTAGTCACCCTCTTCTGTAGCTGGCTTGTAGACTCTAGACGGACGCTGCATTCTTCTAAGGGTACTGTTTCACATGTATAGAAACATTTCGCACAGGCAGGATTGTTGGGTCTGATCTGATTGCAAGGACCTCGAATCTTCCAAAGTTCCACCGGCCTCTTTGACCGTTGGAGAAGTGTGTGGAGTCCGAGATTCAAAACCTGAACAGACGCAGAGCTGTGTGACCGTGTGGCTGTCGGGGCCAGAAATGGGATTGGAGGAAGCCCATCAGCTGCAGGGAACGTTGGGTCAGCTGAAGCAGTTGACCAAGTTTGCCAGCTTTCAAGGTGCCATTACCTCCAACGGACTGGTCGGCCTTCGTTTTGGGGACATGGAGGAGGCCACAAAGTATATGTCCTCAAGAAATGGAAAGCTAAGTGCCACCCTTCCGACGTGGACTGATGCCAAAGCCTTCACGCTGGGCTTTGAAAAGGTGGTGGCACCTACTGCAGGTTCAGGTCATTGTGGTCATTGCCCTGTGCCAACGGCTACCATGACAGGACCTCATGGACTTCCAAAACCTGCCATGACAGGACTCTTGTCTCATTTGCATCATCTGACCCAAAGGAGGGCCACAGTTGAGGCACCCAATGCGCTGCGCATTTGGGACGTTCTTGGGACATTTGAGGATGTGGAAGTGCGGCCGCAGCAAGACATGCAAATGATTTATGAGAAGCTGCGAAAGGAACGCCCTGGCAGCATTTTGGTCAAACTCCCTGAGGCACAAGAGGCGGTGTTGCCAAGTGATCCAATGCCGGTGGGCGAAGTGTTGCTGATACCTCCAATGTCACTTCCCTTGGCATTGCCCACGGAATTCCAAGTGCCAGTAGGCAGTGCTGGTGAAAGAGACATTGACTTTGCACTGATGCGAGAAATCTTGTGCGAGATGCTTGGGGACTACAAGTGTGTCAAGAAGGATTCTGCTGAGTCTTCGGTTCTTACTTTCAGGCATGTCAGAGAAAAGTGGAGTCGCAACAAGTTGGTGGTGGTGAAGTCTGCTATGTCGTACTTGAATGATGTGATTCGGCACAGGAAGGTTGCCTTTTTGAGCATCGTGGGCAAGCCCCGGGAAGGAAAGAGCACGTTGCTGGAACTCATCAGGAGGCTCTTTGCCGGGCAGGATGGTTTGCCTCTGTTCAGGTGTTCAAATTCATGGGAGAAGGCCTGCACTGCGGGCCTTTGGGTCTCCACCCAAGCTTTGCCGACAAGACCTGGAGACCAACGTGATGATTCTGATGCCTCCGTCATGCTAATGTTGGACACTGAGGGCCTTTTTGCGGATGAGGGCATCACACCAGACTACTTTGTCCGCCTTTTCACCATGGTTGGAGTGTTGTCTTCCGTCATGATCCTGAACAACAAGATTTCCAACACTGTCGCTGAGGAGTTCAAGGCCCCCTTGATTCGTTTGGCCATGCTGTACAAGGGATTCTTCGAACAGAATCCATGGTTCCGAGACCACAGGCCACGGGTCTTGTACTTAGCAAGGGACTGGAACGAGGACCAGGACCTTATCAAAGATACGGATGCATGGAATGATGCTGAAGAGCGTTGTGGCGAAGATGGACCCTTGCGCGATGCAATGAACTTTGTCAAAGAAGCCTTTGGAGTAGTGAATCATGGCCGAGTTGCTTTAGCATATTTTAGATGACAGAAAGAGGTTTGGGAATTCTTTCGCTTTGAGAGTTAAGAGGTACGGATGGATGGTTGTGTTTCATCACGTCCGGTGCCAGATGGTGGTCGACCATAATCCCAAGCTAAGGAAGTTTGGCACTCTACCTGCTCCAATCGCTGAGCTTGACAAGAAGGACATCATTTCCAAGACCCTCGACCCCAGATTCAAGCGAAAACTTGCAGATATCATGGAAAGGATCGTGAAGCAATGGCTGACACCAAAGAGTCTTGCCAATGCCAATGGATCCACATGCTACATCACCGGTTCGGATCCTTTGTTTGAACTCCTGCACAGCACAGTTGAAGCTCCAACCACTGAGATTGCTTGGGATTGGCAAGGCACTTTGCAGCGTTTCAGGGAGAAGGCCACCTTGGAAAAGCTTGAGGCTGAAGTCATTCTTCTGGCTGGCCAGTACTGGAAGGCGCAGGGAGGTCGCTCCATGGGTTTGACCGTCGAGGCACGTGACGTGGCCGGGGAGCAGCGGGTGCTGAAGCTGGTCCTGAAGAACGCCCAGGAGCTCCTGCTGCGAATCCCTTCAAACAATTCCCTAAAATCTTGCTGTCCACTTCTCCCCTTCTTTTTCTCAAGAGCAACTGTCTTGAACAGGAGGCTGGCCTGGCTGTTTCTACATCGAGCACTTCGACCGTCGAAGTGTTTGGTCCTCCGATCCAGTTGGAGACCTTTGTCAGTCGCTATCTGCGCGAAGACTCACTGAAGATGCTTGGTTTACAAGACCCTCAAAGCCTTTTCTCATGCTGTATGTGTGTTTCATGAGCATGGACAGAGTCTATGCGTACATTGCGCTAATTTTTTTCGATCTGAGGATAAAGATTTCATTTGATGCTCTGATGCAAAGCATTGAGAATGAACAGCGATCTATCCATGAGGAGGCAACGAAGGAGTTTGCGTCGCTGGGCTATTGTCCTGATATGGTGGCTACCTGGCAGCAATGAAATCTCATGGCAAGCCGGGATTCTTTTGGCGGAACACTCTGGAACGCTGCGCATTTCGATTGTGTTCAAAGTAGAAGCTAGTTCTGAACACTATCTTGTATTGATAATGTATTGATCTGCGCTGAGGCTGATTTGGTGCAAAGTCAATGCAGGAAGCACTTTGGCCAGATCTTGGCGCTGGCAAACAGTTTGTCTCAGCTCTGCGGGGAGCGAGAGCTAAACTTTGCCATGAAACGGGTCGAATCTCAGATAAGTGCTGCTGCCTCCGCAGAGCAGGTGTCAGAGATTCAAATGAGCTTCGAGAGGGAGACCTGTGCTGCATTGAAGGACTTTGGCTCTGACAAGATTGCTCTCGCCTTGGATGAAGTGGCGAAACGTGCTCAAGCAACTGCAGCACGTCCCAGGCAACTCGCAGAGCAGAAGGCACAGTACTTTGCCCTGCGCAAACTAGAAATCAACCACGTGAATGCTGAATCTCTGGAGGAGGCGTTTGGGAAAATAGATGCCGAGAAGTTGTTTGCTGCGCAGTTTCGGCCTGAAGATTTGGTCTTTGTGGAGACGCTTGTGCTTGAGGCGCTAAAGCAGCCAACAGAGCCTGTGCTGTGTAAATATCAAGATGCTCGGGCGTTGGCAAAGGAGCAGCTCGATCTAGTGGATCAGGTTCTTTTTGCTGAAAAGTGCAGGAGACTTCACATTGAACTGTCTGGATCCCCAGTTGGTAATTGATTGAGGTCTGACACGATTGGCAATCAAGTATAGTATAGAACACTCTGGGGGTTGCTTTTAGTGGGAAGATGCAGCAACCACCGTCAAATCGCATACAATTACTACTCAAAAGAGGATGCTCTTTGCCTTCAAGGATGGGATGATTATCCCAAGGGAACTTCAAATGTGTGGATAATTTTTATAAAATCATTAATTTTCATTCACAAGGCTGGTTGCGACTGATAACGATGGTGATGAGCACCAAGACTTTTGAAGGAGCAAATCTGGGTCTGCCACTCAGGTGCCAGCTGCTGGCTCCTGTCTGCCACGATAGCAAGCTGCTTTGGGACATTTCTCACGATTTCCTGGATATCGTTCAAGATGATCCACAAAGTGACCCGTCGATTGCATTGAGTGAGCTCCTGCAGGGTGCAGTTCAGGCACATCCTGCCGGCTTTTTTTGCAGATGCTATGGGTTTTGCTGTCAAAGTCCTGTGTACAACTTGTCCTGGGACCATGCAGGTTCCTATCGAATTGCGAGAGCCTTCGACAGCTAACCAAAAGTCAGGGTTGAAATGCCCAAACCGATATGATAGGCCGTCATTAGGTTCAGTAACTATCAAGAAACCTTGTGGTTAGGTAGCTTAGGCTAGGTGGTTGTTTTATGTTTTGATTTCCGTGAAAACGAGTTGGTGGGTTTGTGGCTGTCTGTCCTTTGCCTTGCTGAGACGGATGGTATCCGGCTTCCGTCCGCAGGTTGGTTCTGGAGATCAGCTCGCAGCCATTGAAGAGATGAAGGCTTTGGCATCATCTGATCCGGTGTCACATGGACGCAGCGGTCTTGATCCCAGACTGCGGAAATCCCTGCAAACGTCGATTTTGTCCTTTTGCGAGTCGATTGTTGAGGCCAGCTTCAGTGATTTCCAGGTGGCCCTGTTTGGTGATGAGCGACAGATCCACAACAGCTTGAAAGAAGCGGGAGTGAGTCTGTACACTTTGAAGCAGCTCAAGACTTGCTGGCCCAACACCAGTTTTGCTGTGGCTTTGTCTTCCAGAGAGGACTTGCAGAAGATCGTTGCTCTGCAATCTACCTATAAACCTTTCCAGCACATGGGTGTCCGCTTGCCTTCTGTCCTTTGGGTTTCCAAGTTCAGCCAGAAGGCTGTTGACAGATGGAAAGATCATGTTCGCAGAGCCTGCAAAGAAATCGATGTGATCGAGTACAAGGAATCCTTTGGGCAAGAAGTGGCAAGTCTCTATGAAGCTGGAAACAACTGTTTCTCAGCTGCTGGAGAATCTGTAGAACTTCGCGTGCGTTTCTCCTTGGTCCTGTTTCCAGTCAGCTTTTCTGTGTCTGAGGGCATGTCCGACATGCTTCGAAAAGCGTTGCCTGATGTGCAATTGGATTTGGACTCACTCATGGTGCTGGAACACAAAGGTGGAGAAAGCGGCAGGGGTGGCAAGATTGGAATTGTGAGCGGAGAGGCCTTCAACGAGATACACTTTGCCTTGAAGCATCCAAGGAAGTTGAGGTTGGAGCGTGATGAACGGAGTCCAACCTTCGTTTTGGCAGTGACCTTGAGCGATTGGGTCTATACCTTCGGGAGTCTCGATGCTCTACACAATCAGTGGGAGGCTGTCCAACAGGAGATTTGCATGTCTGCCAAGCGCCAGGCTCGATATGACATTTTTCGTGTTTTTTTTGGGACATGTGATCCCTGTATATCCCTGTTGTCTTTGCGCCAGCCCAAGCCGCTGGAGGTTGAAGTACTTAGAAGCTTGGAATGTGCGAACGAAGAACATGACTTTTATAGGAACGATTGTGAGAGGTAGGAACTGAGGGAACTAAGTACAACAAAGAACAAGGAAATCACCGTTTTCAGGGGTCGTGCGTTTATTGCATGAAAATCTGCACGACACTTTTTTTGCGGATTTTCAACCTGCAAGAATTTATGGGCACAACGCGCACTTTTTTCTTGCCGCTTTTTTGCTACAGTATATGTTGTTCTCAGTGCTTTGGCTAAGTGCTACATGGGCATGTCTTTATTATATATGTGAAGGAAGCAATATTCTTGTGCTGGAAGAGAACAGTACATGTTACATGCGACTGAAACAACAACGTAGCGCATGACAAGTACATGTGACGGTGTGGATGACTCAACTTTCTTACTCCACCAAGGACAGAGGGCATGTGAACACGGGACAATTTTGCACAGGACAAAGGCAAACGGTAAGCCCGGTAAGCGTATGTGTGTAGAATTCTGCCATGTTCAAAGTTACAACCTTTCCACGGCCTTGGAGGGGTGGTAACAAAAAGCGTTGTACTTTTTCTCCCTCGTTGCAGCATTCCGCTAAATCTTCCCACCGCTGTGGTTTTCTTGCTGTAGTTGAACTCCTCTTATTCATGTTCGATCTCATTTCCATTGTTTTGCCAGCGACAGCACCATGTGCATGTTTTTCTTTTAAAGTCTGTAGAACTGACTCGACAGAGCGGTGTGCTTTCTCACCTGTTCAAAGCAGCCTTGACAGATTTTGCTGTTTGACGCAATAAGTATTTTAATCTGTTGACCGCGGGCAGCCAGGGACTATACCAACTTCAAACTTTGCGAACAGGATTGAGTCTGTCCTATGCAAATCTTTTGCGAGAATTCCCAAAAGATGTTAGAATCATACGTTCACCAAAACTACAGGCCCACCCCGACATCTGTCCATCTGTAGCGTAGCATCAAGTCAGCATGCATCTTGAAGTGAATATTAACATCTGCTCCAGTGGAGGTTAACGCCCCGCTGCCGCAATCCACCCCCATTTGCAGCGTAGCATCAAGTCAGCATGCAAAGTCCAGAGAACGTTGACATCCCACATGCAGTGCATGTGCAAGTTCCAGCGAACTTTAACATCCCACACACCCTACCCCACACCCACACGTTGTCTTGTGACTTTTGCTGGAATTCGGGGTTTCATGATGTCATTTTCTACTGAAATCATTTCTTGTGTGTTTAAGAAACATGATTTATTCCAGCACTTGCATGATGACAACAAGAAGCGTTGCGTGTCAGGAACGTCACAGCATTGCCAGTGTAGCATGTCGGCAACGTAGCAGCAACTGCGGGTGTACCGAGCATAAACGTTCCCACCTCACCAGCAGCGTACCAAATCAAAGGCAGCCCATTCAAAAAGTGAAAAACATGAAAAGTGAAGGCAGAGCCGCCCGGCCCCCTCGCGGGGTTGACCCCATAAATAACCTAGTTTTGGTTTGTAGAACGGGTTGAGAGTCTCGTGACAGGTTCTGAGTGAGGCGAAAGAAAATGGAAGAGCCTTTGATGAAACTGACCTCCGGCATCAATTGTCAAAGCAGTTGCAGATCCATGGCCTGTGCTTGGATTCAGACCAGAGCTTGCAGGGATTTATTGATGCGACTTTGAAGGAGAAATTCTGATCGAGTCATGTCTTTCTTCTCTTGAGTTGGCGTTGTCTTGCGTGTGATTCGGAAAAGCATATTACAGTATGTAAGTCTTATCAACTGGCAGGTTCAATTGGAAGCAGAACTCAATTGACAGATACATGATTGATAGTATCCTGCTTTGCATATATAGGCATGATAACTCAACACTTTTTGAAGTATTGCACAGTGCTGCGGTTTGAAGTCTGCAGGACTTCCAATGGGAACTGCACTGGCTCCGACTAGATCGAGAATGCCAGTCCCTATTTCAAAAACTTGCGAACTTTGCTCAGGTTCCAACCAAAGTGGTGCAAGAATGTCAGCTTCCAAGCCAGGAGCGGTTGTTGCGGGCATGCTATTCGAGTCTTTCGTGCTTGTACAAGCTTTCTCTACTGTATAGGCTAAGGTGTATGGACAGGGCAAAAATGATCTACCGATCTGTCACAAGACACGAGCAGTTGCCCGATCAAGAGTGAGACTAAATACTGTGTCAGCACCCTCAAAAGTGCTTTACTTCCTTCTCCAACATTCTCCCTCCTACCTGCGATTCAGGCCAGACATGAGTTCGAGGCAGATTCCTCTGATGAGTTCATGTTGAAGCTTTGCCTCCGTCCTGTGACATGACAGCATTTTTTCTACCTTGGCAGCTGAAGCCTTGAAGAGAAAGGGACAGTTTCTGTCTACAATTTACATATGACTTTGATGGATTCGTATCCTTGAAGTGTTCCTGTTTGCCGTGCCAAGGTAGTGGACAAGATCATTGCTTGGATTTCCACGGCGGAGGAGAACGTGTTGCGGGAACTTCTCACCAGAGACTTGGATTCTGAGGAAACGCTGCGCTGCTTCGAGCAAGAGCTTTTTTATGCAGCAAGGCAAAGACTCCAAAATGTGCGATGGAGGCGATGTCTTGAACTGCTTGGAAGGATCTTTCTGGGTGAGAGGGAGGAAGACCAGATGAATTTTGTCACTCGGGCCATGGAGAGTGACAAGTCTGCCAAGTCTGTGGCTTCCCTGGTGTATGAGCTGGGCGGTCGTCGCTATGTGCCCGACTTCTTGTTGGACATTGTCCTGGCAGACTCATCCGATGCAGAAGGTGTCCGTGAGAAGGTGCAGCGCATTTGCGATTTCTTTGGGCCACTCCATGAATGCAAAATTCCGAAGGAAGTGGCTCAAAATTTTGAGTACCATGCCAAAGGTGCTGATGTTGTCGCATTTCGAGAGGTGAATGGCTTCTACTTCTTCTTGTTGCGGGATGCGGACAACATCATGCAGCAGCTCTTGCGCTCTGTGCCTGTTGGATGCCAAATGGTCCAGCAACTTCCGGTCTTTCTAAGGACGACTTCCTTGAACATGAATGACACTTTTCCACGACTTGACAACTTGAGAGCTTTGGGTGTTTTCATCAAGCAGATTGAGCAAGTCAATGATCACGTGGAGGTGCAGATCACCACGTGGCATGAGAAGTTTTCCATTCTTCCTCTCCGGGACTTTCAAGTTCGTCACATGAAGCTTGTCAAAAAGTCGGCCAATGCCTACGAGCGCAGCCAGCACGATGCATTCCCCGTTTCATTGTGCGAGTGGGTTTTCTATGCGCGTTCATTTGAACAAGAATATGTAGAAGTTCCTTCTGCGCTGCAACGACATGCTGTCCCGTTGGATCCAGCGGAATTTGACCCTCCCCCAACTTTACCTGCTGGAGACGAGTTGCCGCTCTTGAGAGTGAGCTTCAGTCATTTGAGCTCGGCTTCTTGGCTCATGTGTGTTTGATGAACATTTGAGTCCTAATGCAGAGATATCTCCAAGTTTAAAGGTAGCTGTGTGGCTCTCGCTTGCAGCTGAGGTGGACTTGCATGCTCTGAAGAGTAAGACTTGGAATGCAGAGGCTTGCAAGCAGCTGCTTGCTCAATGTGATGGAAATCGAGAAGATGAGCATGCCGTGAGAGTCATGGCCATTTTCTCAGTTGACACGAGTCACAGGTTGACTTTCTTTTTTGCAAAGATGTCAACGGACTCAGGAACAGATTTGCTGTTGAGAATTTGAGAACTCAGGGCCCGCCAGTTCAGTTTTTTTCCCTCTGGCCTGCACCCAGCAGCCACCTGCTTGTGTCTAGTTGGGGTCAACAGATCATGTTGAGATACGATCAATGAAAGTGCCAAACTCGCCACAAGACTCCCTGACTTTTGCCTGCGTTTGTTGAGTCGCGGGACGACTGGGTGAATGGCACCAACGAAACGTACCGAGGTGATTGCTCACACAAGAGTCATTTGTGAAGCTGGCGGCTACACGTTGAATGGCCATGAGTTGAAGCTCCCAGATTCTGCTTCCGACGCTTGGAAAGCACCTGAGTACTTGCCGGACTTTCGACAGCAAAGAACGATTGTCACCGTTTCCAACGACTGCAGCTTGACTGCTGCGCGGCGCACTCGCCAAGCCTCCAAGCATGGCCGGATCTTGGTGCTGAACATGGCCAATCGAACAAACCCTGGAGGCTCGGAACAGAGAGACGTTTAAAGTTTAAAGTTTAAAGTGAAGTAACTGGATGCGGAAGCACCAACTTTGCATTCATCATCAACGATGGCAGAGAGAGAGAGGGAGAGAGAGAGAGAGAGAGCGAGCAGTGATAAGAGCTGACTTCAACAGATTCTCAGGACCCCCTCACGGCGGCACTGTAAAGCAGTCTTAAGCCTCGGTAGCAGTGTTAAGAAGCTTTTGAATTCCATCTAAGCCTGCTTGAAAGGAGGCTACAAGAAGGGAAGTACAGCTCAAGAGGAGGACCTATTCCGTCGTACTACTCTGAGCAGTGCTCTGGATACAGAGTTTGGCTCCTCAATGAAGTATCCAATGGACGAGTTCTCCCCGGTCCTCACTCGTGATGTCAGCGTTTTTCGTGGTCCGGAAAATGAAGGCTGCCATCCTGAAGCCAATCCCCTATTGCAGAGCTTTCAACCACAGAACAAGTTCTTTGTTTTCCAGTACTGACTAAAGCCAAGCAAAGTTTTAGCCTACCGGGTATACTCTTCACTCCACTCACATTTCCATGTTGTATTATTAATTAGCAACAAGATCAACAAGCTGCGACAAGATTTAAAGGACCCAATGAAGGCAAGGTGTGTTTCTCAAATTTGTGCTGTGCCCCTTCCCTGGGAGCTCTGAGCTGCCCATTCCCGCAGGCTATCCGCTGGAAGCAGACCCGTTTAGTGTCGACGTCATATCCGTTGCAGCATACAATGCACGTGAAAGAGGTGGCCAACATGAGTCTTTTCAAGTCATGGACAAAGGCCAGCCTTTGCTGTTTGCCCTGGGCCAAAGCTTTTTTTTCCTGGGGTTGCCACAGACAATCAAGTTCGGCACTAAATCCATAACCCCAACTGCTCGTAGATCAAGAGGGGAAAGAAACGCCGTCAAAATCTAAGCAAGAATTTTGTTGATCTTAGTCTGCCAGGCAAGTTCACCGAGCAGGGCTTTGGGCGAACGCTGAAGAATGTTTGCAGCTTGCTGGAAGCAGCAGCAGCCCATGGCGCAGATCATCTCATTTTGAGCGCCCTTGGGTGTGGTGCTTTTGGCAATCCTCCGAAGCAGGCAGGGATCCCATGCTATGTTGTTGCAGCAATTTCTCGCTAGAGAGCGATTCTTGTTTCAGCGGTCTTTTTTTGTGTGGAAATTTTGCCCTTAGAGGTTGCAGAGATATTCAAGGCACTGTTGCCGGCATTCGCTGGTGCATTCCAGACTGTGGAGTTCGCGATCTTGGACAAAGAGTGCTTGCCAGATGGAAACTTTCAGATCTTCCGCTCTTACATTTTGGGAGACTCTGCAAAGATCGCTCTCCAGCCACGCCCTGCATTAAATTTCCGAAAGATGGTGTTGTGTGAGAAACTTTGTCCAAAACTGGGATGCTGCTTGGACCGTTCTGAAGACCACCGGAGGGACTGCTGGCATCCGGACATGTGCCCCAATCCAGACTGTGCAGAGCTTGGAGATCATGCTTTGCTGTGGCAGCACGAGCAGTTTTGTCCGGATCCAAACTGCAAAATTGTGTTTGGCCCCAAAGGAACGAGGAGATGGGCACGGGTGGCTGGGTTTCTGACAGGCTTGTTTCAGCTATCCCCTGACATGTTTTGGGGCGAGGGAGCTGAGTAAGAAAGTGGCAGGACATATAACGAGCATTGCCAGATGTACAAGCACAAGGAGCTTTGCCGATCGGAGAATTGTCGTGATTCCAACCATGCCCATCCGCCAGTTTGTCAGTATGGCCGACGGTGCAAATACCGAGATCAGACTCATCCTGACAGGATTTTCTATTCTCACATGGTGAGGCCTTGTCCTGATGGGACGTTTTGTAGCAAGTGGAATGACGGTGAGCACTTGGCCTCCTTTTCCCACCCCTTTAGGTCTCCGTGCCGTGAGCCGATGCATTGCGAGCTCTTCAAAAGTGGCCATGATCACCACATTGAAGAGTATTCACATCTTTGTCCTTATGGCACAAATTGTCGCGAGTATCTCAGCAGCATGAAATAAAAAAGATGGTTTGGGGAGAGACATGAGCTGCAACAAGGCCAGATCATAGAAACGACATGCAATTGGCAAACTGGCTCCTATGAATCAAGCAAAAAAAACATCCCTGCATTCTTTGAATTGGAAGTTTGCCTGTGGAGATCTCTCTGTGACTTCTCGGAACTGTATGCATACCTGCTTTTTCCTCATACTCATTTCAATCAAACATGCCAAATAAGATTGAAGTGTGGGAGCATTCATTTCCTCTGTGCAATCCTTTATCTAATCACAAAGTGTTCCACGGAGTGACTCTACTCAAGGATATTCCTCACTTTTGCATTTGTTGCAAACAGGTCCAGGATTTTTTCCTCCTTCAGAACGCACTTTTTGTCAGTGTTTGCAAGCCCACATGCACAAAAAAGGATTGGAAAGCCAGAGCGCGAGAAGAACTTCATCCACCTTCAGAGACCAAACTGTCCAGATGGGGCCGCATGCTCGCGGGAGAAGGATGTGCATTTCGAGGACTGGCGCAGCTCGTGTATAAGAAACTGGTAAAAAAAAGTCAAGATATAAGATGGAATGCCAAGCAAAGCTTCAGATCAAAATGGTGTGGGAAGATCTTCTCGTTTTGCAGGCAAACCATCATTTTTTTCAAACCTAGAGTAATCCACTTGATGCTTCAGCTGCCCTCGCAGGATCACTTGCAACTTTTTCATCATCCGGATGCACACTTTCTGCGCACACCTTGCAACAAAGGGCGCATGTGTCATCAGCTGAACTGCCGTGAACACCGGATGAAGTTTGCGCATGCAGATGTTGATGGGGTCCTTCCAGTTGCTGCTGTTTGGGGGCACAACACTGCAAGAAACTTGATGGAGGAGGGACAAACAAGCCAGCAGGCTGGTTTCATATTTGACTATGCAAAGCATATATATATATACTTGTACGCACATGTACATATACATTATATATATATACATCTACATATACAGATACACACATATATATATACGCCTACACATACAGATGCATATATACACACATATACATGTACATATATACACACATAGACACACACACATACATATATAACATACATAGATAGATGCATAGGGGAACAACATTTGAACAACCGAATCCCATGTTGACAGGGTCCGTGTTTTTTCAACCCCTGTCCCTGAGGTTCATTTCCATTGGAACGCCAAGAATCTGGTGCAAAGGGTCAAGGACTTCTTTCATGCAGAACCGTGCCAGCAAGAACTTGGGAATTCTGGCGCCGTTGTCGCGTTGTACATCGCCTTCCATACACCTCCTTCTCAAAGGTCTTGAAAACAGGTTCGTGATGGCAAAGAAAAGGTCCACAGGAACAGAACGTGGTAGACAAGGAGTCTAAGTGTTCCAATTTTGATGTTTAATATCAAAAATTGGCAATTCGTGTTTCTGGAATGCAATCCTGAGGTTTCTTGGCGTCTCAGCACTGCTTGCAAACACATGGCACAGACAGCCAGTTTGCAATGCAGCTGAATGCTGTACAGGAAGTGATTACTGGAAGTGCCAACCCGCAAGCCTTCCCCATTCTGCAGGAGTTTGTGGATGCATTCATCCGACATGAGACGGTACAACGTGATGCTGCCTTGCAGCAACAGAAAGTTCCGTTGTTTCAAGGGCAAGTGGCTATGAATGCCATGGGTGGTGTACGTGCTTGGCAAAACAGCGCAAAAGCAACCCTTGATTCATGTCGTATTCGAGCGAGCCGAAATTTTGGTGGGCGAGCGACGCAGAAGATCGAGGATGCTTTGGCTAAGTACACAGAAGCCATGAAGGACCTCAAGCTCGCAAGTGAGCAAGCAGCCCAAAAAGGTCAAAGCAACGTCAGTGGAATTGGTCATGAGTACGACCGTGTGCTGGAGACCAACAAAATGGTCTTCGGAATCCTTGGGATCCACACTTTGAACTATGGGGAGGACAAAGACGGAGACGAACATGACCAAGGAGTACATTTGATTTTCAAACCCGAATCTTTGAATCATCCGGATGTTCACCTGACACCAATGGCCGCCACCTTCTACAACTCTGGGCATGGAGACAAAGAAAGGCCTTGGTGGAAGGCTGGTCGACCGAAAGATGCGTTTGAAGCAATGGTTTGGGAGAAGCTGCATCCCAGCAGTCCGTTGTTCTTCGAAGCCTTGGCGACGGAGTTCCTTGCAAGAGTTGCGCACAAAAACTCGACTGACTTGTCTCAAGCAAAGTTCCAGGATATGAAGAAGTACATGAAGGCAACCAATGCGCACCACAGTGTTGAGTGTCATTTCCCATACGTGACGCCGCTTGCATGGGTAGAGAAGGTCGTGATATCTGAACATACCTTCAACAAGTTGTCAGAAGCTGACCAAGCCTTTGCCAAAGATTTGTTCCGAGGACGCCTGGAAGTTGCTCCTGGCACCGACTCTCAAGAGATGCAGTGGCAGCTGGCCACAGCTCCTTTGCATCGTCCGTTGCCGCCACCAGCATTTGCTTGGACGGTACTCTCAACCAGACATCAAGAGGTGGTTGTGCCTGGAACTTTGCAGCAGAAGGGCAGAACACGCATATTCTTCCGGGCTTCAAGACCCTACTTCATCGCCAATCTTTCGCACAGTCATCGCAAAGATGGTCTTGGCATTGAGGTCTTTGGGGAGAAGTGCTTTGTGAGTGGGAGGAAGGATCCACTTCGTGATCCGCTTTTCAACCACGGAGTGGGGGCTGAGCACAGATCGGTCATGTACTGCATTGATTTGGACTATCAGAAGAAGCAGATCCTTTTCACGCATGCAGGGGTGTCGCATATGCTCAATGCAAGGACTCTGGAGATTGCGAGAGTAAATCCAATGCCCAAAGGCTTGAGCTTCACTGTGCCAAGCGGTCACATGTCTTTCACGGATGTCAGGATTTTATGGGGCCAAGGTGATGAACACCTGCTTGAACATGAGCGTCCGTGGGTTCCACAACAGAAGGTGGCAGTGCCAGATAAGTGTGACAAAAAAGTGGCAATGGCATTCGAGACAGATGGTGCTGGCACTGGCTGGATGGCTCGCGCCTATCGCTTTGTTACGGGGCAGAGCGAGATCGCAACGTGTCCTGAAGGCGTTCACTGCAAGGTCGCCTATCATACGAAAGACAGATCCCAGCAACAGCAGGAACACATGGCCCAGAAGCGCCACATTTGCTTGTACGGACACAGTTGCAAAGACCACAAGGAAAGCAAAGAGCATGATGAGCAATGGACACACATTCAGAAAGACACGTGCAAGGAAGGAAATCAATGCCATCAGCTTTGTGACCCTTACCATCGTGCAGAGTATCACCACCCTGGCTTGTGGGACCTGCTGTTGCCTTGTCGTGATGGTGACTCTTGCAAAAATCGTCAGGACAAGTCGCACTGCCAGAAGTACCACCATGAAAAGTTGATCTATGTGGTGGACGAGAATGGCTTGCAGTTGCAGGAGCTTAAAACATGGTAGCACGGATTTACACAACCGTGTGTTTTTGACATCAACATGTCGAAACGCCTCACGTTTTGTCATTTTTCAAATCAGCAATTTCGTCAAGAGACGACGAAAAGTTTGCAGAAGCTTTTTTTTCATCTCGCACCTGCTCGCTATGTCTCACTTGGACATGTTGTGGCGATAGATCCATTGATAGATTCTATCCCAGAATCTAGCATTGATTGTTGGGCCAGTGCCGTTCTTCATTTGACTGGGGCAAAGTTTTTTGAGATGTTGCCAACAACGATCAATTTGTTGGGTTCCTGAAACTTTCCTTCTTTCCCGCACTCGCACCTTCCGAGTCCATTCACTACGCATGTGGACCACGGACTTCACCACCATGCTTTTAGTAACATTCCATCAACGTAGCATCAACTAGTTCCGCAAGTGTACATGGACGCTATTATCCCACCCCACCCCACCCGTGCCAACAACGTAGCACAGCGTAGTGCTGCCAGTGCGCAAGAACATTCCACCAACGTAGCATCAACTAGTTGCGCAAGCGTACATGGACGCTATAATCCCACCCCAGCCCACCTCCCCCCACCCCCCCAATCATATACTTTCCATGTGCGGTGACCACGAAAATCGCAACGCCTACACGGTTGTAGAAATACGTGTCACCTAAAACATAAACCTGAACAATGTCCATGTGCTAAACATAAACCTGAACAATGTCCATGTGCTAAGCCCGCTTCTTTCGTTCGCTGCATGAAATGTGCCTTCTAGTGACCATGTGAGTGTTAACATACATCTCACACAGTATCCTCAAAGCAGCTCCCGCAGGCGCAGCAGGGCTACAAGACGTCCCAGGCCACCTCCCGTGTGGAAGAGGCAAAAAGCCGTTGGATCAACATGGGAAGGGCAAGCAGCAGCAAGCACACGTCAGAGGCGGGAAACCTGCATCTGATCAGGAAATACTGAAGGGCTCTCTAGAACTGGGCAATGAACACATTTTTTAATTAACGCCAAAGCCAAGGGAGAGGGCAACTATTGCCTGAAGCTCTTGTTGTCACAGATGCAAAGCTAGAAGTCTCATGGTCCTAGATTTCCCAAAGCTTTCCCAAAGCAAAATTTTCGACACAGTAGTGCACGCTGCAATCCCTGACCAGCTTTAAGTCGGGTCAAAGTGAGTTTAGGATGGTGCTGGAAAAATCAAGAAACCATGAAGAGGATGAGTCCAAGATTTTGATTAAGATCAGGGCAGAATCTAGAATTATCTAGAAACAAGGACTTTGCAAGCCTTCACTTTCGACTCTTGGAAGCGCTTGGAAGGTCTCTCACCATCGGTCCAAGCCCAACAGAGAGAGCTTCGGGGATGACTTCGGCTTTGACCAGATCGACGTTGAGATCCAAGATCGGGTGGATGATATGGTGACTTTCCCGCAGTGGCAACCTCTTTTCTTTTTGCCACAGTTGGCAGCTAGCTCCAAAAGTCCCCAAAGAGAACCTCGATTTGTGGAAGGTCTTTGTTGAAAGCTTCGGTATTCAATCCAAAAGCCGGATCATGAAATTAGCCCAGTGCAGCCCAAGGCCGGCATTTACAACGACGCTGCTATCAATGCAGACTTCGAGGGTGCTGAAATGGACATGTATGGCAATCCAATCGGAGGGAACTTCGACTTGGCTCGTGATGGTGCCTTTGAAGGCTTCAAGATCTTGGTCTTCTGTGGGTATCATGGAGAAGGACTCCCCAATGATTTGCAGAGGCTCACCATTCCGGAGCTTTCCAAGAAGGGCTTCCAAGTGAAGACATGCATGCAGGTGGATGAGTTCACCCAAGAACTGCGCTCAAAGCAGTATCACGTTGCTTGGATCATCAGTGGCAGCTCATTTCAAGGGAACAAGGATGCGTTCTTGGCAGAAATTGAAAAGTTTCATGATGCCGGCCGCGGGCTGATGATTTGGGGTGACAACGATCCTTTCTTTGTCCATGCCAATGCTGTCTTAGGGAAGCTGTTTGGTTTTCAGCTCGAAGGCAACACGCCGGGGGGAAAGGAGCTTCATCCAGGAGATCCATTGAAACCTGGCTTCTTCGGTGGCCATCCCAAAGTGTGTGCTGGAATCGTCAAACTCCATGAAGGAGCGCCAAAAAAGGTTTTTGATGCAGCTGAGTTTTAAGCTAGGTTTCCGTGGTTTGGGTTAGACTCAGATCCCTGCAAGGAGTCACCATATGCTACCCAAAGCATGTACCTGATGGATGGAAGGTCTTTGGCACATCTTCCAATCAAAAGCCAGTCCTCTTGGCGAAAGAAGCATCTTCAGAACGTCCAGGTGCTCTGCAATAGAAACAGCTTTCTTGGATAAGAAGGGTTTAATGGTGGAAGTCAGGGTTTTCACTGTTTTCCAGCTGTGTTCCAGTTTTTGTGTGTTCCATGAGTTGCGACTGCAACAGCTTTAGAGGCAAGTGTGGGACTGGCCGCGTCATCGTAGACAACGGCTTCACCAAGATCTACAAGGGCCAGTGGACCACTGCTGGCACACCACGCTACGTCAGCAACTGCTCTGCCTGGTTGGTTCTGCGAGAGCGCTTCCGTCGGCCTCAGTGGGGATTCAATCCCACCCCACAGTACCAGGGCGGTGCATGAGGAAGGCATCAATAGGATGAGTCATCCAAAGAGGCAACGGCCCACCCGCAATAGTCGGGATGATTCTAATTAATTTCTCATGCTGGCACATCACAAGAATCAATGGAGAGTCATTTGCTAGCGAGCTGAAATAAAGATACGTAGTGACATGTTGTGACACTTTGAGCCTGAGACATGAAATTTGCAGGTTATGTCTATCACGTGCCAAACAGAGAGCATGAGTGCACAAATATGAAGCTGATGCTAGACAAGCGCTTCAATTCTTGCTTTTGCAACGCTTGTATGCACTGCAGTTCCTATTCGGCTCCGCGTGTTCTCTGCACAGTTTCTTGATGTCCATATACTTTTTCAACAAACGCAATATATATATATAATTGCTGGTGGGTTGGAATACCCAAATGCAGACTCTTCCAGTGCAGCAGGATGATGCGGAAATTAGATTAGAGGCCTGTCGTTCTAGGTCGGCCAACCATTGGCTTTGCATCGTAGCTCGTGAGACTCTTGTCCTCGACACAGATACTATATAGATGTTCCTGCATTGCAAAACTGCGCGTGAACGGCGAATCTTGCTTCTCTCGACGATCCGGCATTTTGAACGTTGAAGTGTAAACACTGTTGGCATTGACAGCACTTTTTCTTGAGGCAGGTGGAAAACCGAGGCGCTGTGCGCGACAAAAGTGTTTCAGGAACCCCTGTGGCTCTTCGTGCTCCGAGCTTTGTGGTCACTAAAGTCACTAGAGAGTGACCAGACCATGCTCTCTTGTGATTACTCATTGTCTTGAAGTCCGGGCGGAGTGCACCACCAGGAAAGCAGTCCGTGCATAAGCTATATCATACCCTTCCACCACACATTGAGCCTTAAAGAGCGTGTTTTAGGGCCCCACGATGCATTTAAGAACCATCCAAAAAATAAAGACCTCTCTTCAAAACATTGCTTCAGACATGACGCGCCGAAGTCTACGAGGATGTTTGATGGTTTCATGGCACTCAAGCAGACAGCAGTGATGGGATCGTTTTCCAGCTTGGTGATTCCAATAGCACCTGCATTTCCAGAGATTGGGATACATTGGGATCTAATTCTATGATTCGCCAAGGTTTTCGTTGGCCTTTGCGCTTCGATGAGATGGACTTTCCTCCCTGTCCCCAGTGGATGCTTGCTTGAAGTTTAAACTCTCGCAATTTGTAACACATAGGCACCGCGTTGTGCAGGTTAACTTGTTCCAACAATTGGCCTCTGCTCACATTTCCAACTTTTGCTACACAGAACAAAACCTGTTGATGATGTGCTTCGCCTGTGTTGCATGTATCTTTCTTTACTTAGAACTCCTGTGTATTCCTGTGAGAAGGCAATAGTCTGAGAGTTGATGTTCGCTGATGGAAAACTGCAAACGAGTCTAGCATGACCCCAGTGCTGCAGAGGTACTTCGAGGCGTGACCTGTTTGCACTTGGAGTGTACCATGAAATCTTTCTCTGGTTTTCGATATGATCTTCAGAAATGGAGTGCCCTTCAACAATGTACTTTCCGAACCTTGCGGAAACCACCCTCCAAAACCAAAGATCTGTTGCTACCCAAGACCATCCAAGACCCAAACTGCCGGGATCGGATCTGAGGCGACTTGCTGCTGAGACTTCCTGTTGCAACCAGTGTTGCTTCTCCCCTGGCAGCCATAGCAGTGCCGTCAGTACAAGAGGCCTCGCTGAAGGAAAAAAATGTTGATTCGAAGCTCGAACATTAACATGGATAGGCATATTTCATTCAAGAATTATTCGGATCTGTTCCCGTACAAGAAGAAAGAGAATCATATTCTGCTTTTCCACCTGCTCCAAACCAGTTGACATCATGCCAATCAACTGTAAATGCCTGGCCAAGCAAACCTATGACAGACCTTGTGCAGAGTTCCTGCTGTGGCCCCTTGGACCTTTCATCACCTGGCAGGTGAAGCAAGAACTGTTGAGTTTGGCTGAAGCTGGGAAGCAGCCTTTGAGAGTTCGGCAACCTCAAAATATAAGGATTTTGCTGGTAGCTCAATTGGGGACATGGAAGTTTGGAATCAGGAAGGACATGTTGGCATAATATACTTGGGGACACCAGGACTTGTTATGTTCTTGGTGTAACCTGTCGAAAATTTGGATGAAGGCAAAGGATCAACCCACTCAATAACATCTCTGATTTCCTGAACTCTTCGTATGCTCCACACCACTGTGAATAATGGTCTCTACTGTGCTCTCAGTAGTTGTATCACTTCTGTCAGCAAGAACTTCTGTCGATCTCAAGCTCCAAATTGCTCTCTCAATTCTCCAAGGGCTGCCCTCCAACCCCTCCGAATCGTATGTTGAGAAGATCCATTCGTTTGGCGTGAACAGACATCCATGCAAATTTGTTGAGTTTGAAACACACAGGGCTATCAATTCTGCTTGAGTGCTTGCTGGATAATCACGCAGCGCTGAGGATGAGACAAAGCGTGGTACCACAGCTTCGAGTGATCAGAAAAGGTGGGAACGTATGGGAAAGTACGCTTGAGAAGACCATCAGTCAGCAAACACATGCCAAATCGAAGCCAGCTGCCAGCAGTTCACATTGTAGAGGGATCCCGGGGATCCCTGGGATCCCTTGATGGCTTCGATTTGGAGTGCAAGAGGTGGAGCAGATGTTTGCGTCCGAAGAGATCGATTGAGTGCTTTGTTCCAATTTGTTCCAATTTGTTCCAATCCCCATTGTCAAGTACACATAGTACACTTCACCCATCTTCACCCCTTCCACTCACCATCCACCTTCAAGCCATGAAAGAACGAGGCGGATGAGCCAATTGGCAGACGAGCTGACTTCGGCTGCCCCAGTGTCTACCAAGAGCATGCTGACAGGCGGGGAATGAAACAGGTGAGTACGTGCTTGTGAGGCTGTCCTTGTAGGGTGTTGATGTCCATTGGCTCAGAGGATGCAAGACTACTCATATAACCACAAAGCAGACAAGACTCATTGGAAAGGTTGAACGTCCTCAATGTCGCATTTGCATGCATTTGTTATTTGAAGAAACGAAGGAGTTGTCTCACACAAAGACGCAGCAAATCAGCTGTATGTCAGAGTTTGTTTGAATGTGATTGCAAAGGAAGGAGTGACAGCGGAACTGTGGGCTGAAAAGTGGTACGATTCCGAATTCATTGGAGGTACCTGGAACTTGGCTTACACCACTGAGAAGGAGGTGCTCTCCTTGATCGGAGATCCAGGAAGCGGAACATTTGCTGTGAGAGATCTGGCAGTCACTCAGTTCCTAGTTGCCAAATTATCCGGATTTTGGACATGGGGAGGGATGCCCCAGCAAGTTTCTGCAGGAGTGGATGTGTACCAGAAGGTGGATGTGGAGCAGGGAACCCTGGGGAACAGCGCCTTGGTTGCCATGTTCCCGTGGTAAGAAGGGCACCTGAAAGAACTGAATCGAGTCTGGTGAGAGTTGGGATAATTTGGGATGCATCACATGTGTCATTTCTGTCTCAAAGACACCTTCACCTATCTGACATCTCTTTTGCTCCATAATCTTGATACTGAAATGGCGGAGCGCTGCATACTTGCACAATGAAACGATAGGTCGGAGTTGGTCAGAGTTTAGGTTTCAACAGAAGTGCTACCACTATGCACACTGGCCGAGTCAATTGCACAAGGCATTGCTTTCACCGACGGCAAGCGCTTTGATGTGGCTGGCAAGATCGACACCAAAGCGCGATCCGGCGCCAACGATGAGGCCAGGGGGTGCGGGCAGTGAAGCTGCTTTGAAGGTGGAGACTTCTTTGAAGATTAAATCCAAAAAAGATGCTGCCATGCAGGCATGTCTCCAAAGAGGGGAACAGTGTATAGTATGAATTCAGCCAATGAGTTTGGTTTTTAAAGGGGAAACATGTTAAGTGATTCAGAATTGTGACCTGATTCAGTTTCAAGTACTGAGGACTTCGACCTTGCCCTTCCCACTTGCGAGGCACCTTATGGGCTTCGCAGTGATTTCGCCTTCACTGGAGCCAGTCTGAAAGTGCCGCCTCTGCAGCTTCCACTGCCACCCTTTGGTCGGTCGCCTCAGATGGGCGATTTGGTCTGCCTGTGGTCATGACGTGATGACCTGGTAATGTAAAGGGTCTACTGAACTAACCATAACTAACCTGTCTGCAAGTGCAGAAGCATGTATAGTCTTGAAATCATCACTGAATTCAAGTCGGTTGTGAGCAACTCACACTGCCATATGCAGCCTCTCCAGGTGCTGGCTGGTTTGTCTGGAACCCCGGTGTTGATTCCGACCCCTGTTGTCAAGCACAGTTCCCAATTGTGACAGCCATCTGGATTTCATGAGTTTAGTCAATATGCGAAGACAAGACTTCTGTAATACGGGTCCCTGAGATTTTGAACGAGTTTTTAGCCGTACCCACGTCGGGCAAGCCCTCAGCCACTTTGGGGTATTCACCAAAGTTTGTGAATTCTTGCTAAGATGCTGGAAGCAAACCTGAATTGCATTCTGTTTGGGACAGTAATGCAGGACCAGGTTTGCCAGTCCCAGGTCTCGACATATTTGGATGAGAACCTTCGAGTGAATCGCGATTCTCGAGGGGATCTGGCAATCTATGTGCGTGCACCAGCATGATACTTCGTGAGGAAAACTGCCCCTTTCTTTGTATGGGCTGGAGATGGTTGGAGGAAGGATGCACTTCCAGTCACTTCCATATCTTCCATGACCTGTTGTTGACAAGATCCCACGCTCAGTCTCTGGGAGTTATGGTGCTAGGGTTCAGGCGCGAACTCTTCAGAAATTTGGACTTGGCTGCCCCTATGCTTGTAGTGTGAGCACATCTCAAGACGAAGAGGTTAGTGCAAATTGACAACACTAATCTAGGGATCTAGATTCCGAGGATAGATGCAACTGCTCTTGAGACAGACACTTCCTTTTTGACACTTATTTTGAAATTCTCATTTCAAACCAACCGCCATGGTGGCTGCAACTGGCCATCGGCAGGTGCGTTACTTGCCCGGGTGCGTAGTTTACTCGGATAAATGTGTTGATTTCTCATGATGTGCTGTGGGCTCTATACAGTTGATTCATTTTGGTATCAGAAAATGATTGTTCTCCAGCTCCAACTCTTTTTGGTTGGACAGATGCAAGCTGAACAGCGTTCTATCACATTGCAGTCTCTGCGTAGAAGCTGCCCTGAAGCTTTTGATATGTTTGCTTCAAGGATAGTATGTTTGATTGGCTCGCCAGGGTACGCTTTCCCCAGTGGTGTCAGGCGCACTGGAGTTGAGAGTCGCTTAGGACTAGGCTGCCGAGGGCATGAAGGCATTTTCCAAAGCACCTCCAAAGCAATCCAGCAATGCAGGCATTGTCGCCTTGGTGAACAGCCACAAGGAGGCCATGGAGATCCTGGAGACACTGCATGAAATTTTCCAAATTGCTTTTGTTTTTCCAAGTCCGGGACACTGATTTTGGGCAGGTGATTCGAGCACAGGGCCTCCCACGAGGCCTGGGGACAAGCCTGGCAACTCGGGTTTTGTGCATTTCACAACACCTCAATCAGGAGGGGTATTCTTAAGCAAGAGCAAGTGCATGTGTGTAGTATGACCAGAACAGCTATAAGCTAGGTTTTCACCCGTACTATGATTGCCAATGTTCTGTGGGATCCTTTAGCAAGAGACATTCAGCTTCAAGATCTCTGCAGCTGCTTGGACTCAGGTTTGTCTGCGAAAGTACTTAGGACCAGTCCATAGACCCAACCGACTCTAGCATACGCCCCTGCAGGGTGGAAAGATGCCATGATCAACTAGCTCAGAAGATGAAAAACTACATGGCCAAGTGGATGCAGTAAAATGTAAAGTTATACCCGCCGCAGCTACGCAGTACTGCCCACAGCCGGTGAGTACTGCTGCCATATCTTCCTATCTGGCCCACGACTGTGAGCAATGACTGCTCCAAATTTGACGGTGGTGTTGGTCTCCGGCGAGGACCTGCTGGGGGAAGAGGTGGACACAGCTGAGGGCTTGAGGGCAGAGTGGATCCGCTCAGACAGGATACCAGATGTTTATAATTTATATATCTTTAGATATCTTTAGAGAACCAGTCTTGGCACAGCCCAACTGCAATATTGTGCACTGGCAGTGATATCAATTTGATCAATGACAATATAGAAATGACATGCAGTGACAACATTGTCAGACGTGGTGATGACATCACCTCTGAGTATCAGGTGATGGCATCATTCCATGTGTCCCAAGGAGCTGGGGCGCTACGGTTGCACCACCATAGCAGATCTGAAGCGTCAAGTCTTCGCACTGCCACGGAGATGTGGAGCGCTGCGCCACGTGCTTTGGCTGCGGATTCAAGGCATTGCTGTTGAATTCTGTTGATACCCTCTGGTAAACTACCATAGCTGTTGAAAATCACCATTTTTAGTCGGTAAATCAACTATAAATGGCAATTTTCAATAGCTATGTTAAATTACCAGAGGGATCCAGAGGGTATATTTCCAGAATATGCACAGTATGAGACTATGGCCATCTATGGCCTATGGCCTGATTGATTTTGTGTCCTGAATCTTGTGGCCTTGTGGGTGATTGCAGTTTGATGAGGCGGATCCTAGATCAGCTAAGTTTATTGGCAAAGGTGCGGATTGCTGGGATAAGCTCGGAAGGCTACACTTGTCTTTGCATTTCTTCGCTTCCCCTGATCGTGCACTAGATGGAAACTTCAACTTGTCAAGTGCATACTCTAATTTTGAATGATTCACCGTTTTTCAATGTTTTTCATATGTCATCAAAAAGATAGTTGAGACGAGTTTCTTTTGAGAGTTGTCAGTATGTCTCCAAACCGTCCACATTTGATACCCTGGAGAAATGGTCAGATGTCCCTTTCTTCCCTGCTTCTGCTCCACACCAGCTGTGCTGACTTGCAGATGGCTTGCTTCCCGACGATCAAAATTTCACAGAGGACGTTTGGTGCCGAATTATTTGGTGCTCAAACTCTACTGCCTTTTGGATTCTTTCAACAATGCTTTCTTACTGCTAGCTGCTCCAGGATGAAGACTTGCAGCTGCTGTTGGGCCCGCGGACCTTCGCAGTACTCTGGTGGAAATGGTATATACATGTATATACATTGTATATACTACTTTGATTCGGTTGGTGATTTCTGCGTGTCCTTGAAACAAGTTGCAGAGTTGCAAACCATTTGGAATGTTGGGGGAGATACTCATTCGCCTCACCACATTCCCGAGTTCCTTTTTGAAATGCCGAAGGTCAGCGCCTTGCGCAGTCGGCCACAAGAGCGGAATCCTCCTGTCCAAATGGATGTCTCACAAGGTGAGGATTGTGGTACTTCAAGGTGGAGCCTCCTAGGGCCCTAGGGCCGGCTTGGTGACATTTCACTGTGAAGCGCTGCCATGACTCCCTCTTCACGGTGAAACACAGCCTCATGTTTTCCACATGATCTATCTCAATAGATGTAGTCTGATTGTTGAATGATGTTGAATGCATATATCAATAATATCATTCTACCACTAATATAGTTAGTTGGAGAATTGGAATACAAACCTGGCTATGGCCGCCAAACCGGAGGCCTGGTTAGAGATCACAGAGGTCAAATCGTTGAGTTGGACTATGCCTTTGATGAGCCGAAGATGCAGAGAGCAAAGCATTTTTTTCAGTATATGGGGACACTGAAATCAACCGGCTTCATAGAAAGTTTGTCTGACAGGGGATTGGGGGGTTCTATGATTATTGGGAAACCAACACATTGTCCGCCTGCCTCAGAAAAGAACAACAGTTCCCCAAATTGGGTGATGGAGCGACAGCGGCATTTTAAGGCGCTCACACTTACATGTCATGTCTCATGCCCATATGCCACCAAGGAAACTGCCACGGGCGGTCTCATCTTCGAGACAGTTTGGGAGGATGCTGTTCAGAAGAGCTTGACAGGTTCGGATCCTGAGGCTGATTGAAAATTATGTTGTCTCACACAATGACATAATATCTCTGGTATTCTCCGGCATTTGTCTGAGTCTGAGAATTATCCAGCATCTGGTTCAGTTTGTGTTGTGAAGGTGGCAGCGCTTTGCTCATTGCCTATGGGCCGGCAGGTTCTTGGATACAACAGCGGGAGTGGAACATGGGAGAACATCTAATGGACCCTTCAACTTTTTGACTCCCCCAATGCAACTCTGCTGTCACTCGTCTCAGCAGCGTTTTTGTTTGTTTCTGATCGACTTCTGGTTACCTTCAGTCGTCTCTCATCCCGCCTGCGTTTGTGATGAAGGGTTTGTGCCTTTGATGTGTGCCGAGTTGACAGGCTCTGGCAAGGGTCATAGCCTGTTTGGCAAAGACGGGCTTATCATGAAGACGCACGAATACCTTGAAGTTTCCTGGTTTGATTTGATTCAGGAGCTTTGTTTCGACATCAGACGTGGAGGAGTAAAAACCTCTTGGTTTAAAGATTTAGGATGAGGATTGAAAGTTTAACAAACAATGTTCTTGCTGCTACCGGAGACTTGGAGCCACAGGACCATCAGGGATAGAAATTGAATTGACTTGCTGTTCTTGTTTTCATATGTTTTCATACGTCCCCACGGCACGCTTCAGCATTCCAAAGGCTAGTTTACCAACCCATCCCAAAGTCCCCGAGTTGATCCCAGGCGGAGCTGGCAAAGATCAGCGCCACTTTGTGTGTGGAGTTTTTTGAGATCGAGCAGGAATTGGCGTACGATCTCCTGGCCGAGGCTGGAAAGTGATGGAAATCTGCAGATTGTCTGAACATGCCCAACTCAATTCTTGTATGCTAAGAACAAAGCACTAAGAAACATATTCCAAAGAGATCAAATTTCAGGTCAATTTTTCAGGACCATGGGGATGTGAGGTTGACATAGTTGTGGAAATTGACCATAATGAAGCTGGTGGTAGTCCTAGTAGTCCGGGCAAATGTCCGTCAAATGGCGCAGCTGCAAGGACACAACACAACGACACCGTGTACGCTGGGGAAAAGACATGACGAAGGTTGAGGGAGTCGCTAGGCATGCAGCGAGATGACCAATTTGGATCAAACATCAGAATACCTGAAGGAAGGTGATCAGGGACCAAAGAAGGATGTTATTTGGGAGTGGGCTTACATCTTTTGCCATAATTCTGGGGTCTCATGGCAAACCGCAGATGGCCCCAATCCAAAGTGGTACAACATTTTACAACCAGGAGACCTGACATCGCCCCTCACCAGTGTTCCAGGTGGAGCCTTACATCATGGACGTGAACACCGCCTTGCTGAAGGGCCTCGAGGGACGAAACAAGCGACGCGAAGTGGGAAGTCCTGGCGAAGATTGGAAGGGCTGGCATTGAGAATTTTATAGGCAATCGGCAAAAGGCTGTGCCAAAGCAACCTCATACAAATTATAGATACTTAGACCACAGCACGATATTGTTCCTGAAACACCCCGTATTCTTGTTGGTACACGGGTACACACTTCGCCAAGACTGTCTAACCATTTAAGCCACTGAACTTGAAGGCAACAGCTTGTCAGGGTATCGGTTGAATAAATATGATGGTGAGTTATATACGCAAAGGTGGATGGCACACATACTTCCGCACATTATGAATATAGTATTGTCCACATAGTACCTAGCCATCTAACTATTTTCCTTTGTTATTTACTCATTGTAGACCTATCATGACCTATCTACCTATCCACCTATCTCCCTATTTACCTATCTACCTACTTCCCTACCTGTCCGTCCATCCATCCATCAATCCACTCATCCATCCGTACTTTCATCTATCTATTCTATTCCAATTCTTATTTTCATTCTCATCCTTATCATATTCTATTCTGTTCCATTCATTTTTACTCTTCTCTCTTCAATTTTCGATAGAGTAAATCTAAATCTGGCACGATATAAACTTATAAACTTACTTGATCTTGTCTTATTTTATCCCATCTGATCCGATCTATCCGGCAAATGTACATGCACACGGGAGCACATGTTTTCTTTCCCAACAGATCAACACACGTGACCTTGGTTTCCGCTTGCCAGGTTCAGGCCCTCCCAGCATCAGGACGTCGCAAGTGCTGCTTAGCAAAATTCATTGCCGCTCCAGACAAGGGCTTTTGCTTTACCAAAAGAAATTTGCCATTGCCGAGGTTGGTTTTCTGGATATCTTGTGCCAGTGAAACCATGCCAAACCTGAGAAAGGCACCACTTGATTGGAGAGTTGAGGTTCAACATCCATATCTTCTTGGAGCACTGTGAAGTTCCATCTCTTCTGCAGTTCCTCCGCTTGCCGGCCTCTGATCCGCCCCGACGCCCAGAGAGTCTGCACTTCGACACACGGCTTTGTATTTCGATCTCCATGTTGTGTCGATTTGACGATGACATGCCACACCCGCCACACCCAACTCCGAGTCTTGCAGGTACAAATCTCAATGGATTGGTTTAAGGGAAAATCTACAGGAAACCATAGATTTTCCCATTCAATATGGGGGATTCCTTTCCGATTTTCTCTTAAACCAATCCATTGAAAATCAGTACAATAAAACTTGATGGGGAGGTTTAGACAAGCATTTGTTGGGGCCCAGAGGCTCTGGAAGTTTCACCAGCAAACACTAAGAGAGCTGCGGCAGGACCCGTTTTCGTGGCAGCTCTGCCCTTGTCTCACAAGTGTTCCCCACAGCGCTGATGTTGATTCGAAGGAATAGAGCTTTGATGCCCCAGTGATGGATTTCGCGACAAAAAACTGTATATAAACAGGATCCTAAAAGAATGGGCTTTAATACTGAGTCAAGTTACTGAGCAAAGAGATTAATTCAAGTCCACAGCTTGTGTAACCTTATTGACTTGACATGCAATTTCGCTGCATGTTCTCTTCACCCTGTTTTTTTTTCCAAAGGTTGTTCCTTGGGAGTGGGGATTTCCTATCATCATCTCGTGTTTTTCGGTGCAGGTCGCCAGGTTTTTTCGTCCCCTGAGGATCACTTCAGTGCCATGTCCAAGTCCTTGGCGTCCGTGTCATCGGTTCTTGAACGCCTCCAGCCGCGGGAAAAGCCAAGTCGCTCGGCAGAGGAAAAAACCCACAGTCATGAAAATTCCAGTGCAGTCGTAAATAGTCGTAACATACTTACATAAGTAACAGTAACAGAAGTCATAAGTACATCATGTAGAATAATGTGTGTATATTTATATATTTATATATTTATATACTATACATAGAATATATATATATGTGGCTTGTAATGTGAACTCATATGCACAGTGATAGAGGAGCTGGAGAAGCTTAGCCCCGGCTGGACATTTGAATGGCCAGTGGATTGCTTTGTCTATGATTCTTGCAGGCCTTGTTCCTTGGAGGGAGTCTGCGGTGACGATGCTTATGCAGCTTGGACCTGGAGAGAACTTTAAGAACCAGGATTTCTTCGTAAAAAGACAGCTGGTCACCACTTATTGCTATGGATGATTGCAACCCCCATGAATCGGTAGTGAACTATTTCAAGGTCCACTCATCAAAATGTTTTGTGGAGATGTGATTGTCTGGGAGCAAGCAGTTTTTGTCAACCACAGGGCTTTTCAAATGACCCTTTTCGATTGATTTTCAACATCACTTTGAAGTATTTGTTGGAGACGATACAATTGTTGTGTGATGTTCCATTATACTCGGATTACTCAGTCTAGGACATTTACAAATCCCTGCGCTGCCAGGGCCAATGTCTTGCGCCGCGAGTTGCCACAGCTGGTGTGCCTGGGCACTTGCTCCGGTGCGGATGAAGAGACCTGGTCCACTCTGCGGTTTCTGCGACGCGCGCGCTGCGCGTCCTTGGAGGTGGGGAAAAACTTGGCGCTGCGGCGCTTCTCTTTTCTCTTGGGCCTAAGTGTTTGACTTCGGAGTTCTGATACATGATACCCCATCAAGAAACTTGTGCTGCTTATTCCCAACCTGGGGTTTGGCTGACCTGGCCAGTCCTTTTCGAGGCTTCGAAAAGAAGGCCACCATAATAGGCAGCAAAAAAAGTCTTCGCTGCCTGGGAAGAGTTGCGGCTGCTGTGTTACCCCCGGGGGGTCTTGTGGACCCCTGTGAGTCTGACAGCGTTGTGGCTTCCCCAGACTAGAGTGAAGTGAGTGAAGAAACTCTGAACTTGGTTTGCACTACAATGGCCACCATTCCATCCGAAGGTTTGCGTCACATTACTGTGATCTCAACAGACTGACTTGCCCTCCAACGAAGTAGCATAAAAAGGAGGCAGTGAAGTAGTAACACTTGACCGACTAATATATTCGTGGATACGAATGGATACGATGTATAAGATGTGAATTCAGATTCCGGAAAATATTCATGAGTGGTTCAAAGGAACTACAATGCTTTTCAACCTCTCACCTGATGCACTAGGCCCGGTTTGGTGTTCTGAATGGCCCTGCCAAGATCAATGAATCTCCCTGTCCAGGTCAGGCTGCCAATGCATGGCGCTTGGCAGACTCACAGTAGTGGTCCCAGCTGTGTGTCACCATTGGAGCTATTTGAATCTGTCAGTGTACACAAACCTGCTGGGATCAGGGGTTGCTGATTTGTCAGACGTTGAGGACAAGCTGGAACACAACAGCTCAAGTATTTCGCTTCAGCTTTGCAACTGAAATTGGGTTGCAACTTCGCAGTAGCCCTTGGGAACATTCACAAAACTCCACAGGTTTCTGCTCGACTTTCTTTGTGAAGTCTGCGAAGAAAAGGCATCCGGCGTTTGCAGACCTGGTTACGATGCTGGTTTTCTTAAGGAGGTGTTGCTTTCACGAGCTGGTCACATCAACTTGGTACATGTTTACAAAGTGCTATGCACTCCCGGTGTTTTCTGGAAGACTGTAGTGCTGTTGCTGTAGCTTTGTACTGGATGACCTTGTACAGACTTTTTGGCCAACCATTTTGCAATGCGCAAGCTGCGCAATAGCTTGGATTCGACCAAAGATCTGCAGGAAAACCCAATGCCATGGCGGTAAAACCGGTCGGTTTCCCATCGATTTTCCCAGGGCTTCAAGGGCCGCAGCTTCCACGTGTTGCGGGCCATGGAACGAGAGGCTGCCAGGCCGAGTGCGGATCGCCTCGGGGTCGGTGGTCCCCAAGAAAGTGTTCCCCAACTCTGGGACTGATAGAAACAATTAAACATATGATATATATATATATATATGGTACCCCCCCCCTGTACCTACCTTTCCTTGATTTATACTGTAAATTACAGTATAATTTGCTTATTTTCATATGTTGAATTTGATAGGTTTTTTATATTGAGTTTCTTGAGACATGAGTTCAGACTTGACTTCAGACTTGAGTGTCATAGTCTCGATTCCTGCTACCCAAGATCCAAGATCCAAGATTTCCAGAAAGCTTTTTATATTGAGTTTCTTGAGACATGAGTTCAGACTTGAGTTCAGACTTGACTTCAGACTTGAGTGTCATAGTCTCGATTCCTGCTACCCAAGATCCAAGATCCAAGATTTCCAGAAAGCTTTTCTTGGAAATCTGGGATAAACCCAAGATCCAAGATCCAAGATTTCCAGAAAACTTTTCTTGGATGCACTTGCAGAATCTTGGATGCACCCAAGATCCAAGATCCAAGATTCCCAGAAAATTTTTCTTGGATGCAGGCTGGAAATCTTGGATGCACCCAAGATCCAAGATCCAAGATTTCCAGAAAACTTTTCTTGGATGCACTTGCAGAATCTTGGATGCAGGCTGGAAATCTTGGATGCACCCAAGATCCAAGATCCAAGATTTCCAGAAAACTTTTCTTGGAAATCTTGGAAATCTTGGGATAAACCCAAGATCCAAGATCTTGGGTGCATCCAAGATTCTGCAAGTGCATCCAAGAAAAGTTTTCTGGAAATCTTGGATCTTGGATCTTGGGTGCATCCAAGATTCTGCAAGTGCATCCAAGAAAAGTTTTCTGGAAATCTTGGATCTTGGATCTTGGGTGCATCCAAGATTTCCAGCCTGCATCCAAGAAAAAAAATTTCTTGGATCTTGGATCTTGGGTGCATCCAAGATTCTGCAAGTGCATCCAAGAAAAGTTTTCTGGAAATCTTGGATCTTGGAATCCCAATCTTGGATCTTGGATCTTGGGTAGCAGGAATCGAGACTATGACACTCAAGTCTGAAGTCAAGTCTGAACTCAAGTCTGAACTCATGTCTCAAGAAACTCAATATAAAAAGCTTTCTGGAAATCTTGGATCTTGGATCTTGGGTAGCAGGAATCGTCGACCGATGCTGGCGTTTTTTAAAAGAACGCGTGACCTTGAACCAGCAGGCATGCGTCGGGGCTCGCATGCTTTGCATGCAATTGAGATCGGGCCAGTACGAGTACTGGAATCGAGGAAAAGACCTGTGGACATGCACAGGCGCACTTGTACAGTGGTATCTGGGGTAGATTACCGAGTGCGAGCGTGCGATGGCCAAAAAAAGGATGCTTCTTCTCTTCGCTATATCGTGGCAGCTACTGCGGTTGCAGGGGTCTTCGTCGAACCGTAGGCAAGTGCCACTCTTTACCTCAATATAATGTTATGCCTCAACAGCTTCATCCTTTTGAATCCACCCTTCCTAAAGTGTCAAGCACGTGAACCACGTGGTTCGTGCAAAGTACTTGCTGTAGTTTGCCCAAGTGAGAACTTGTAACGCAGCACTTTGTGCAAAGCCTTCATAGCTTCATCCTTTTCAATTGAGATCGGGCCAGTACGAGTACTGGAAGCGAGGAAAAGACCTGTGGACATGCACAGGCGCACTTGTACAGTGGTATCTGGGGTAGATTACCGAGTGCGAGCGTGCGATGGCCAAAAAAAGGATGCTTCTTCTCTTCGCTATATCGTGGCAGCTACTGCGGTTGCAGGGGTCTTCGTCGAACCGTAGGCAAGTGCCACTCTTTACCTCAATATAATGTTATGCCTCAACAGCTTCATCCTTTTGAATCCACCCTTCCTAAAGTGTCAAGCACGTGAACCACGTGGTTCGTGCAAAGTACTTGCTGTAGTTTGCCCAAGTGAGAACTTGTAACGCAGCACTTTGTGCAAAGCCTTCATAGCTTCATCCTTTTGAACCCACCCTCCCTCAAGCATGTAACCGTGATTCGTGCAAAGTACTTGCTGTAGTTTGCCCAAGTGAGAACTTGTAACGCAGCACTTTGTGCAAAGCCTTCATAGCTTCATCCTTTTGAACCCACCCTCCCTCAAGCATGTAACCGTGATTCGTGCAAAGTACTTGCTGTAGTTTGCCCAAGTGAGAACTTGTAACGCAGCACTTTGTGCAAAGCCTTCATAGCTTCATCCTTTTGAACCCACCCTCCCTCAAGCACGTGAACCGTGATTCGTGCAAAGTACTTGCTGTAGTTTGCCCAAGTGAGAACTTGTAACGCAGCACTTTGTGCAAAGCCTTCATAGCTTCATCCTTTTGAACCCACCCTCCCTCAAGCACGTGAACCACGTGGTTCGTGCAAAGTACTTGCTGTAGTTTGCCCAAGTGAGAACTTGTAACGCAGCACTTTGTGCAAAGCCTTCATAGCTTCATCCTTTTGAACCCACCTTCCCTCAAGCATGTGACCGTGATTCGTGCAAAGTACTTGCTGTAGTTTGCCCAAGTGAGAACTTGTAACGCAGCACTTTGTGCAAAGCCTTCATAGCTTCATCCTTTTGAACCCACGCTCCCTCAAGCATGTAACCCACATGGTTCTTGCAAATGACTTGCTGCCAGCACAGATGTAGTTACGAAGAAAGGAAGGAATTAACAGTAAAAAGTAGGTATCAGGGGGGGGGTTAGCATATATATATGATTTATATATATATATATGATTTATATATATATATTATTATATGATAATATATTCTGATAATAGAATGATAATATATTTGGTATACAGTATATACTGTCTGTATTATATATGATTAACATTGATCAAGAACCTACTGTATTGGCTAACTTGCATATATAATTTGATAATACTTGATACGACATTATTGGCTAGACAGAGAATGTCCAAAGATGTGAAACACAAAATTGGGGATGGCAGAGAACCGAACAAAGCATCATCATTCTGAACCAACCAGACTTGTCTCAGGTGTGGGGTATCCTTGGGACCGCCAGGAGCATCCAACGCATTTGGCGCCTGCGACACCGAGAGGTCCAATGCCACGGTGCTGTGGCGAAAATCAATCTTTGGGAGGATTCAAACGTAGTGACATAGTGAAACACGCACCTTGGGGTACAGGGATTAGTAATCCCACTTCAGGCAGTAAACTTAGAATTGACACCACTGCTTGAACAGCTTGTGGTGGTTTTTGTACATATCACTTTTCGTCCATTTCGCGCCAGTGTTCCTAGTAGGCTCCCTTACTGAATCCTACTTCTGTTCTTTTGACTCGTCCACGGATTCGTCGCAGGAAAGACCAGCCAGCGATGAAAAGGAGGCAAGATGGGTTTGTTCTTTTCAAAGGAGCATTATAGTCCTTGGTCCTTGTTTGTTTTGAGTCTTGCCGGCATTCACCTGCCATTGGCGTATCTCATGCTGCAAGATCTTAACTTAAGATCCCCTGTAAAGATCAGATTCCTGTAGTTATGTAGATTTGTGCGACAAGTCTCTCGTCAAGTCACCGTCTTCAGATGCCCGGTCCGACAAGATACCCGCCTCACTGAAAGTACTGAATCACTAGTGTCCGAAGGACGTTTCCGCACTAAGAAAGTGTGCAGAGCGCACAAATTATATAGACGAGAGTCAAGATGCCCCAATTATGTCCGGTAGGCAAGGGGAGACCATCCAATTTCTCTGAACTTTCATCAGCTGAATGCTCGAATTTCTTTCAAGACCTTCCCAAGCGTTTTTTTTTCATCTGAATTTTAGACACTGACCGCCTGACCGGCTGACCGCTTGGATACAGCGCCAAAGAATTGCCCAGGAGCCCTTGCACATCGAGAATCTGGAAGACCTTCAGCTGGGAGCCACGCTTTCGCTGTTCGTCAGGATAAGTCAGAATTATGGGTGAAGATTGTGATATGCAGAGATGGAATTACCATCTGGTTATGACTAACAGTTCGCCATGGAAAATCCCAACCATAAATGGAGGTTGATGTCGCTGGGAAAATCATCTACAAATGGGCCATCTATACCATGGCTATGTTAGTCATAACCAGAGGCTATTTTTTTTTTAAGGCCATTTTTGGAGACGAGACGACTGAAGAAAACAGATGCTGCCAGGGTTCCAACTCGTTCCAACTCACAGGTCCGAAGCGGAACCCCGAGTTCAGATTCTGATTCTGGGAGCTCCTGAAGACCATTGGCATTGCAGATCGGGGAGGAACATTCACGACATGTTTTTATGGATATACACATGTACTATATAGTTACATATAAACAAATGAACGTGTATAATTATATTAATTGTATATATATACACACACACTTTTTGACATCCCCTGGTCGATCAGAATTGCGCCATGTTGAATCAGACCAGAAGGAATGCAGCAAAAGTTTGGATGTTCTGGGGTGTTATACCGCAGCTTGATTTAATTCACAAGTGGAATAGACGGGAATTGGGTGCAGAGGTTTGTAAACCGCAACGAAGAGGCATGCTTCTTCACCCGTGGCTTTGCTGTTGGAACTAAACTGCTTCAAGTAGATAGATGGTCACTTGTTGCCACAGGGTTGCAACCCATCCTAGTTCTACAATCACAAGTGGATTTGGAAGGTTTGGCAGGTCTCTGCACTAAGTTTTTGTTCAAATTTCAGAGCGACTGAGGACGTCACCACTGCTGTGCACCTTGATTTGCAGGAGGACAGAGTTGCAGGTTGTCTTCCAAATTGTCAACTGCAGCAAGGTAAAACTAGGGACGGGATCACTAGGTGCTGGTCTTGTTCCTATGGGTTATTGCTCTTTTGGACTTCAAATGAGTTGGGAAAATCTTGAGGCAAACAGCTGAATTTTAGAAGAGTCGGCCTCTGTGACGGCTTTGGAGAATTTTGGAGTTGTGGTTGTTACCGACTCTGGGAGACGTCCTCATTGCTCCTCCATGGCTGGTGGTCCAAGACATAAGACCTATCAGTCAGCTTGGGCCGTGGCAGGAGCTGAGTCGTTCCGAGAAGCGGTCCAATCAGCCACAAGTGGCATCAAAGGTGAAGACTGGAGAGATGGAGGTTCAATGCTTAGAACCCGACCCAACAACCTATTCCTCCTGCCCTATTCCATGTGAAGTCAGGCAAGTCAGAATGTTTCAGATCTGAATGTCTCTGAATGGTCTTTCCTGATTCGAGAGACACGGAACGGTGTTTTCCTGCTTTGCTGCAGCCTTTCCTCCGTGTGCGAATGAAACCCTGCTGCAAGGTCCGCAACACTGCAGCCTCTCCCAAAGAAATCCCGTGCAAAAAGCCGCACCAGAAGGAGAAGGCGGTGGTTTTGATATGTTTTGATCACTTTTTTTTTGATCCTGCTGTGATGCTTGACATCCTGGAGGTGCCTGACATCCTGGACCCAGCTGGACCCACAGATGCCGGGCATGCCGCCACGAAACCTGTGGAGGTGGCATCGGACAGCCAGGAGCAGACAGAGGCTTGACGCCAGTTGAAACACTTGAGTGTTTTTTGTTGGGTTGACTGGGTTGACTGGGTTGACCTTTCCCAAAGATTTGGAACCATGATGAACCGTGATGTTATGGTACTTTCTTAGGCTGATGTTAAGCCTATTTTTTTCAATTTTCACTCCATTTGCAGCTTCCTGCAAGGCAGTTGAGAGCCTTGAGGGCCTAGAGCCGTCTGAGAAAGTCTCGGAGTTGCAAGATCTTTGGCTTCAGCTGCAGGAGGTGCCTGGCAGTGCCTGATGGGTCTTTTGGACAGTTGGAGTTGGAGGTTGACGAATAAATGAAGGATAAATGAAGGATACATGTTCATGTACATCATCGAAAGACTTCAAAGTATCATGTAATGATGCTAAGTAATGCTAAGAATCTCTGTCTCGGGGGAGAGCATGTGAGTACCAAATAGTACGAAGAAATCGTAACAAATCCTTTGTTCCCCAATGCCCTGGTGAATCCATATGGTATAGACGGTATAGACGGTACAGGTATAGATGCCATCGCGACATGCCAGGGTCAGCGGCTCTGGCGCCAGAACACGGTACCGGCACCTCCCCAGGGGCAAATTGTCAACTTTGATTTTCATTTGATTGAAACATATCGGGAACAACAAATAACAACAAATAACAACAAAATAACAACTTTTCCATGAAGTTGTTGACTGATCCAAACATTCAACTTGTTCAAGCTTGTGATTGCGGAACTACCGGACACAAATTGGAATCTTCAGCGTACAGAGAATGCAAGGACCAGAGATCTCCCTCTGCCAACAGGGATCATCCAATGATTTGTGACATCAAAGACCCCCTAGTGCTAAAGTCATCAATGGTCTTTGGCATCCCCAGTCATCGGCTGAGACCCTCAAACCTGGTAGTACCTGGTAGTACAGGGATCGGCCTTACCCTTTGGAGCTTCATGGCCCTTTCGGCCTACATGAAATGGCCATTGCGTGGACCGGCAGAGTTAGAGGCGAGGCCATTGGGCGGGCAGAGTGATTTGACGTCGAAATCGGATTAACTGCAGATGACTTCAAGCTTTAATTGTAAAGACAGCACGCTTTTTTGATTTTAACATATCAATTCTAAAACAAGAGTGAGTCAGTATTCACAGAGCTCTTACCCAAGACATATGGGATAAAGGTGTTGGATCTGAAAAAGCACAAAAGCAATTCAGTCAGGGGTTGACAACTCCAATGCTGTCCTAACTGTCAAGGAAGCTCCGCTTACGCCTCTGAACACAAAGCACAGGAGATGATACTGGTGACCCCCAGTTTCAGTTCGGAAAGGTCGTGGCTTGAAGGCCCCATTAAACCATGCCGGGATCATCTAGAATCTAGAAGCGGCCTGTTCGATCCGCCTTAGGCCGGGCTGATCTGCGACCTCAACGATGCCTTCAGCTTGTCCCACGAGCGGAACTCATTGGCATGCTTGACCATGCCGACGCAGAGCAGTGTTGATGTGCATGGGTTTGTTGCATTTTTTTTAAAGGGAATGACTATGACTAAAGCAATGAAACTCGTGGGAAGGAAGGGATGCCACTAAGATTCAAGATGGGAGGAAGGACCCACAAAGACAGGTAGAAAAAGGTCTGCAGCAGAGAGACCCAAACTATCCCAAACCATTTCTACAGTCTATTTGAACTATTCCTATTATTTTGACATGACTGACATGAGCAACTGTAGCAGCTACCGTCCTGTCAACTGAAAGTCCAATCGGGTCGGGTTGCCTGTGAGACTTTGTAAGGGCTCAAGGGCGTATGACACAAAAAGACAAAATGATTTGTCAAGTGATCTAAATTGCGTCATGGCGGCAACATGGCCTTTGTTTACCCTGCTGGACATTGGCAAGATAAACATAGTTGCAGCAGATTTTCTGAAACCAGCTTCCAGATTTTGGAAGACAAGACACCAACGGGCAGCCAATTGGGGCACGGACAGAAACATTGACCTGGACCACCTGAGAAACTAGCAGGATTGTGTAAGAATGTAATGCTGTAGCCATCCCGGCCGATTATTTTCCAAAAACGAAGGGCCGAAAGGCCGGGCGACTCAGTACTCTGTTCGGATGAGGTCCTGGAGGATGTTAAAGATCACCTTGCAGTACATTATGTCCAGTCGACAAATAAAATTTGGATGTCATAATATGATGTCAAATGATGTCATTCAAAAGAGGCGCCAACCTGTTTTGCTCAACACGATCCGTGACAGTCAAGATGAGGTCTCCCCAGTTTCCTCCAAAAATGTCGAGTTCAAGATGTTACCGCCTTCGCACGTTCTTTGTTCTTTGTTCTTGGGAATTACCTATGTGGGAGCCATGTGGATCTTGTCTACATAGTCTATATGAGTCTATATGCTGAGACGATCTGAGACTCACTGTCTCTTTCACAATCTCCTCTCTGCACTCCTGAAATGCACGATATTGTTTTGGCTTATAACATTTTGTTGATACTCTCTAGCAGATCAAGGGCTGCTGAACGCTGGCGATGTTGCAGGCATCCTGCATGGAGGCGGCGACAGCAGTGCTTTTCTGAGGGCGGAAAGAGTAGTCTCTGATGGCAGTGGCGTCAGGGAGTGATGTCACGAAAGTCGTGAAACTTACAATGCCATTTGAGCAATCATATGTTCACCAGATTTCACCAGCGCATTGCATGCACTTGAACTTTAGCCGACCGACATGGCAATGATGGCTTGGCAGATTGATTGACTCAGGAAGTTCTTTGAACTCGACTCGTGTCAGACATGTCACTGGAAATCGGAGTAAAAAAACCGCATCCAATCTCTGCAGCTGCGCCATAGTGCGAATGCCTGGAGGGACACAGCGGACACAGCTCCACCGCGACCACCCCAAGACTTCGCAGAAGCTTGACGGCAGATTTGGAGAAGACTTTGGAGTTTTGAATTAGTTCCAGAGTTCCAGAAGCCTAAGATAGTCTCGTTATGTCTTGATGCAGAAAGATTGATGACTGGCCACAAATTGTTCAAGCTAGGTCTCTACGATCCATGTGAGAACATGTGAAAGGCGTTTGTCACCAGTCCCGTTGGATTGCACAGATTGACCCTCGATCAGATGGTTCCCGGAATCAACTCCCAGTTTTGATGCCAAGCTCCGCCTTGTTTCCAGTTGGAAGGTACCAGTGCTTGCATGTGATGATGGTATTGCTGCTATTGAAACCAAAAGCCTTGAAGAGATCCTGAATCGTTTGCAGTGGAAACTCTGGGTACCTCTTATCAGCACCCTGAGGCCTTTCGCGGAAGCGCCGTCCGCATGCTGCTACGGCACCTGTCACAATACAGGAGGGACACTATCCTTTTTGATGACAGTGGTGATGACGACTTTCCTTGACTTGTACTGTTGAAGAGTTATGCGTTTGTGTTTGAATTGCAACTCATGCGAATGAAATTTGCTCATGGAAATGGTCTCATGACGTGAAACTTACTGCCACAGGAGCCGCCAACTCTGTTGAATAGGCCAGGGGGGAGATGGTGATGTAGTTTGGGTGGCTAGTTTTGGGAAAACTTGTCAGATTTGTCAGCTCTCATAGAATTACAAGCCCAGATGCACATTGGTGCTTGATTGTTACATTGTTTGAATCATGTAGAAAATGGATGAAACGTAGGCAAGCGATACTGCAGAGATATGAATTATCACTCCTGGATCATGATGCAGATAGGAACTGCTACAGACTTGGTGACTTTGTTTGCAGAATGTGCTTGTTTTGTGGCACTTTTCTCAGAGACTTTCGTTGTTCATGGCTTTGAGGGCGGCCAACGATGCACTGGATGAGATCAAAAGCACTGGACTTTGATCCTCATCCCACTGGGTCACCATGTTCCTTTCACGCACAGCCCACCATGTTTCAATGATGACAAAACGGAAAACAGATAAAAGGCGATTGAGATCTCTCAGAAACATGGTTGACTTATGTTGAATTTACAAATATTGGTTTCCATGGACTTATGGCGAACTAATTTGATTGCCAGGAATGTCACCTGTTCTGTCGGTGAGACACATAAACTGAAAACGCAACTTCCACTTCACGGGGCTATTTTTAATGCACTTTGCGATCTAATCTTTTGTTCCCCCTGGGGTGCCACAGGGAGACAGTCCTGTGCCATTCCTGTGCCATATGCATGTGAATCGAGTTAGATGATGGGCTAGACCAAAGTTTCTCCTGGGCTGTTGTTTTTTTGACGCATACACAAACAACTTATCAATGCTGCATGTATGTTGTATCCTTGGTCTCAGCTTAGCAGAGGTTTCTTTGGCAATGAATAAAGACTCGAGAAAACGTACCTGTGAGATCATGTGCCGGAATGATGTCAACATGTCTAGCCTTGGCGATGTCAGACTGTCAGCTAAAATTTTCATCGTTTGCAGCACATTGCCCAGCAGCCAGGGAAAGTCGATCAAAGATTCCATGTGGAAGTGCAAAGGTCTTTGTGGTGGAGGCACCCCCGTGGCAAAAAACAGATTGGCTTCCTAGTATCAGTGCCAATGAAGCTGGCCTGCTTTCTAATAGTTTATCAACTCTAGGGCTGAGATGCTGGGCTTCTGGTGACCCTGGTGTGCCAAGAATTGCCGGAATCTTGAGTTTTGTCCAACACTATTCTGTCAGGGCTACGGTGCAGATCTGATCCGCCGCATTTTGCAGAGTCTTGGTTGGCGCGAGCGCCAGGCAGGGCCATCAGTGTGATCAGGGCTAGCTTCTGTGAGTCGCAGATCCAACATGTGGGGATTGACGACATCAACAGCCCCATCACTGGAATCATATGGCGTCATATGGTTTGATTTTGATTGGTATTGATTCAATATTGATGATTGTTCATGACACCTGCTAAAATTTTTTGGACGTCACCACAGGCATGCAGCGGCCCATGCTCACCTCCACATCTCATTTGGAACGGGTGCACCACAGGTGAGAGTCAGGAGGGAATGTGCCACATGTTGATCTCAAAAATGGAATGGAGCAATGGAGAAACAGGTACATCCTGCAGAGGATTCACCTTGTTCGTAGTCTCTTCCACTGTGGTGTTGCAATGGCTTGCAACGGAGATAAAGTCGAGTTGCATGAAACAATTCCTCGATTCACAGAGGACCACTTGGGAGATTCATGATTCATTCCGATCATTCTGCATTCTTGGGCTATTTTCCTCTACCATTTTACCAGATTGCATCCTGTATCACAGATGCATGTGTTTACATTTGCTTTTGAACCCCAGAGACACTGCAGTCCCTTGGCTGAACTGATTTCCAAAAACATATTTTTCTGTCGTCTTGCTATGAAGTTGCCTTTGGCATCTACGTGTTTCTGGCTGTTGGATGAGCACTTCAGCGACTTCAGGCCGAAAGCTCTTCAAAGACGAGGTCAGTGGGCCCGGAAATTCTGTTCTGATCGCTTGGCTGAAGATGAAACTCTGGTTGGAGATCAGGGAGCTAGGGCAGGTTGAACATATTTGAAAATCAAAACCAGCAAGCGAACTCAGCTCTGAAACCATGCAACCTGAACGTATTCCCTGTCCATGGTGACCCCAAATGCCAAGTTTATCAAGTTGCAGGTCATTCAGAAGTGGCAGTTGGGAAGCCCAATGGTTCGAGTGTTTGAGGTTTGATGGTTGATCCAGCTTGAGATATCCAAAAATGATTCACATGTATTCTTACTTCTCTACTTTTATGGTGATATCACCAGTACTTGAGGTTTGAATCGGTTTGAAGTGTCTTTACATGATCGTAAGGGCTCTGACAATAAGTGACAGTTGAAATTGCAACGACTACCGACCGCAAGCATGGTTGGGGCGTTACTCTCACTCCAGCAGGTCTCCAAACACGCATACTTCAAAGACAGTTGCAGTGTAGATAAAACCCCGGGCCCAGACCCTTTGACGCTCCAGGTTGTTGAATCACTTCCCGCGCAGTGGTGTGATTAGTTCCAAGAGCGGTTTGCTCTGGACTGCTTGAAGCATGTTGAGCGAAGCGTGTTGTTTTGCAGTACTGGATTTCCGAAAAGATTTCAGGAAGCACTGCAAAGAATATGCAGCGCAAGGAAAAGCAACTTGCCCGGTCCTAGGTATTGTGGGAAAAATAATCTCAAGATATCTCAAGCACAAGAGTTTCATCATCAACGATGCACGGTGTGCCTTAGTATAGTACGATCACAGGGCTGCTCTACTCCGGGCTTGGGGCAGGAACCTTCGGGATCACTGCGCCTGCGAAGGGAAGGTGGGGATGAAGGTGGACCATACCCTCAAAGCATTGTCAAAGTATCTCAAAGCCATTTTCCTGCTGTTTTCTAATGGGTTTTGGTTTCAGGGCACCTGAAGGCTTTCAGCTTTTCCTTGCCAAAGAACATCAAAGAACCATCTTCGAGTCTTTGACATAGCAGCCGGATCTTTACCCCAAGCTCTCACAGCCCTGTGTGAGATGCCCTTGATGAGCTTCATGCCAAGAGTCCGAAAGCCTA